AAAGAAAGAATCGAGAGGATTTGTACGTTGTAGAGAGCTTTTGTTGAAATTTTTCTTTTAAATTATAAATTTTATTTAAGAAATAACTTTTAGTTAAAAAAATACTTTTAGATTAGTTGTTTATTTCTACACAAATTTTATGTTTTAAAAGTTATTTTATTAGGAATTTTTTTAGATTAAAAAGAATTAAATAGACTATACATGGTGTTCTCCGTTTAGTTTTGGCAAATAAAATGGGCAAAACTTTGATCCAGCAAACAACACTTCACTTTAAATCATTAGAATGGCTCACTCAACTGTGTTAAGGGTATTCAAAATATAATAATATCTCACTCAACTGTGTTAAGAATATTCAAAATATAATATAAAATCATATAAAATAATATTTAACTTATATATACGGTATAATTTTTCTGGAAGGTGTACGCTTGAACCTTGGCATAGGGTGGCTACGCCATGGCTCCAAGACCCATGCAAACAAGCAAAGTAAACAAAAGAAAAAACTTACACAAGAGCTTTCATATCTGTGAATTTGGCTATTTTCTCAATTGAGAAAATCACTTTAACTTGGCTATCAGTACCAATGAGAACAGCACCAAGAATTGCTAAACCACAAATCACACACCTTAACACCAACTCTGTAACCCTTACTCTCCTATCAATCACTTTCGAATTGTTCCCATGATAAACTGGAACATTTCCAGGACTTACTCCAATGCCCAAATAACTCATCTCTTACACTTAAAAGCAATTGCCTTACAGATTCAAAGCTTTATTTTAGCTTTAGAGAAAACACACAAGAAAAGGCAATTGCATTTCCAAGAAAAGTTGAACCATGCACTTATATAGCAGAGGCTTCCACTATAGTCTGTTTCACATATTTAATGCCACATTTCATGTAGCAGTACATATTATAACTTTTTTTCAATTATGTAATTAATTGGTATGTGGTGATGGAGCTTAGTTGCAACTTTTCTAGGACTGTGAGACTGCCAGGTGTACTAGTTAGTGACTTTGATCATTGCCCTACCAAAATAGCCAAAAAGAAATGACTAGCTTATATACATATATAAAAGCTATAGCTAACCGTTCATATTAGGTGTAACTAATTATTATTTTCTTTGTACGATCCGTCGTTCATTCTTTACGAGAAATTTTTATATTCATACAAAGATTATGATATGGTTAAAATATAAATTTCAAAAATCCTATAACTAAGTAAATACTATGATGTGTTTATTATCACAAATTGTAAAAGTCTTTTTTTTTAATCCTTTGCAAAGTTAAACTATATAATATAAATTGAAATAAATGAATATTGAAGTGTAAAAATCTTTTATACCGTTAACGTACATAAGTTAAGATGCACAAGAAATTCATTAAAATGTAGGAAGTGTGTATCATGAGTTCTCTCACTCACACACATACACAAAGCATGTTTTTTTACCATGTGTACAAATTGGGGGAAAACGCCTCACTTTTCATGCATAATAATAATAATGCAATAATAGAGATAGGAAGAAAAAGCAATAAATGGAGCCTAATCTTTGCAATTAAATGAAGGGAATCTGACATCTGGGGTTAGCATTTAAGTACTAGAAAGGATAGGGAAATATAGACTATAGAGCTTTGAGGTTTAGGACTAATTTTTTTCTGGGAAGAGGCAACAGTTTCTTGTCCCTAGGTACAGAGAGAGAGATAAGGATGAGATATATTGCCTTAAATCCTCTACTGAATTATGGTTTGGTGGCATTTATTATGACCCATTACTTCATGCATAGCAAAAGGGACACAACGATTTTTTTTTTGTTTTTAAAATTTTGGTTGAACAAATAATGCAGTGTGAATCTAGGTTGGAAAATATAAGGAAAATTGAAACAAAAATCCCAAAGTTGCTGGAATCATAATGAGGACCACACTCCAGTAAGTGTTGCGGTAGATGATTGATAAGTATTCATTCGTTCTTAATCAAAAAAATTAGATCCGAGTATGGGTATGTAATCATTTTTGCTAAGGAACGTTTTATTCCTGTCTGATTTTTCGAATCGAATTCAAAGAGATTTCAATACAAGTAAGGAACAACAAAGAAAAAAAATAACGAGGACCACACTTGATGTTTACTTAGTGAAAGTGGTGGGGCATTAGTTGCCAAAATTGGGATTTATTTCCAAACTTTTTCACAAAAGGTTTGCTTAACTATTCAAATTGTGCACTTATATGATTCAAAGTACAAAGTTGAAAAGCAAATCCAGTAGCAGGTACAACTACTTCATTCCACTAACAGGCGTGGTTTATAGCTTATAAGTGCTAACTCAGAAAGAATTTATTGATTTGCAATTGAGTGCATATGTGATTAAGTTGCTTATTGCGAATAGTATATTACGAGGAAAAAGATTTATTTTCCTTATTACTTATATTATATATGATACCTTTATTATTCAGATTTTCTTTTAAATCTTTCCCCTCAAATTTGCACATCCCCATTAATGTGAAGTACTAACAATCGAAGTGAATAAAAAGAATCAACTTTTATTGTTACCTTTTACAATTTTCCCCCACTTAGCTTCAACTTCATTTGGTTGACTAGTTTAGAGAAAAGACTTAATACGACTTGGCTATGATGGACGTGGATTGGTGGTGGTTTAATTCTTAGATAAAAAAGAAAAATTAATAAGACTAGAGGAGCACGAATGACTAATTTCTAAACATTTAAGAGGAAATTAGTACCTTTTCTCTTTTCCTTTTTCCATGTGTCTAACTTACGTGACAATATGGTCAACATATAGATTTTATATAACAAATGAAAGGCATATATGATAAGTTTGGTAACGGCGAAGTCATTTTTTTAATAAAACGCTTAGCGCAAGAACATAAATAATTAACTTTACAAAACTCAAGATCAAATCTTATACACCTTTTACCCTAAAGATCTTTGTAAAACCTATTTTCATTATGTTATGGATAAAATTTGATATTTCATGCAAAACATATTGCTTCTTCCGTCAAATTAATTTAGACTTAATTTTCTTCCTAGTTACGACGTTGATCAACTTTTTTTAATCTATCCATTTAAGTATTTAAGCGGTAAAATGCTATGTATTCAATAAATCAAGAAGTAGTACAATTCATGTTCATTTAAATCGCAAGTGAAAGCTTTTAACTAACAATTCCAATCTGAACGAATTATTGCACTTCTTACCAAGTTGAATTAAAATACCTATTTTAGTATTTTTCTTTTTGAAAAAATTGAAATTGACATTAAATTTGCAGAAGGCAACAAACGACAGGCTAAGATCTTGCATTCAAGCTATTATTTTGACTGATAATCACCATCTATCATTTATCTCTTATATCGTGTGGCAATATCATCACCATTCACCTTGCTTTTCTTGTAGTCGGCCTAGGGGCAGACCCAGAATTTTTATACGAGGGGCATAGTATTCTGCTTAGTATTCGGTAAAGATTTTTAGTGTTCAGCGTGTCAAGTGATTTAAAATAATAATTTTCAAGGTGTATACATATACATATACAAAATGTTTGCCGAAACTCACGAGGTCCAGTGACCCCTCACAATAACATATAGGTCCGCCTCTGGTTGGCCGTAATCTCTTCGTTCATTTACTTTCCTCCTTTCAACTCAGAATATACTATTAAATGCAAATTGATTCATATTCTTTTTGGTAAATAACTCAACTTTCAACCAAGTGCACCATATAACCTTTTTCGAGCATGGATACCAACAATTAATATTATACACCAATTTTCAAAAATATATATATTAAAATATCTAATTTTAAGATAGACCATATGTTTAAGTGCCCATAATTTCCCCTATAAATTTGCCCTAGTCCGACGCCTTGCTTTTCTCGTAGTCGACCCATAATATCTTCCTTTATTTGCTTGCCTCCTTTCGGCTTAGAATATCTAATACTCATATTATAATAGTGCTAGAAAGTAGAAACTAACCGCAAAAAATTTACCCTTCGGAACTCATAATGTCCTTGTTCATTTGCTATTGTACATAGATTTAAGTAGCGTGTACAATTGCACGTGCATTCACAAAATAGCACTGCTATATTAATCAACTGTTGTATTCACTTTTCTACTCAAAATGTGATTATTTTTAGTGATTTTCTTGCAATCTTATGTAAATTAGACCTCGTTTATGATTGTATCGTTGGAAGTTAGAAACAATAATGGAATTGGGAAGCGTGTCTACTTGATAGACAAATGATAAGGAAAACCCATATTCACAATTAAATTCCATGATGTTTGGGACAAATTTTTATGTCAGACAAATTGGAAATTTCAAAAGATATGCCACGTGACCAATATTATGCATTTATCTTATTCATGAAATAAGTGATAATAATTACTTGTAGATGTGAATATTGGTCCTCTTTTCTTTTAAAAAAAAAAAAAAAATTGCTTCGTCTCTGAATTTTCTACTTTTATCCCCACATTTTAAACCCAACTGGTTTTGTTCACACATACATCAGATCATATGGTCCTCCACTCCACTAAAACCTCTTCTTTTTCTATAATTACTTTTATTAAACTATAAAACTAGATTATTTGGCCTGATCACCCGTCCATGATGAACAACAAAGTTGTTGTTACCACTAGTTCTCTTCTTTATATGAATCTTTAGCTTCCCAAAATATGTAACAGACCTCTTCACAATAGCATTCCTATACGATCAGGAGCGAAGCTACGTTACACCCACCGGAAAATTATACTCCGTATAAGGTAAAATATTACTTGTTATTGATTAAAAATAGACTTTAAACTGACAAAGATTTTAACACCCTTATTGAATTTTCTAGCTTCGCCACTGTATACAACACTTATCTATAAAAGCCAAACTTTTTCGAAATCAATTTTTATGTTATGTTATAATATATGTTTTCTATAACAATTCTTCGCTATAACATCCAAAATTATTCTGAACAAACAAGACTGTTATACAGATATTAGAGATTTGACTGTATATGAACGAGTAAAACAAGCAGGCAGCCAATTAAGTAGTAAAAATAGGTCGAGCTTTGGAATTTAGATCAAATTCATACCTAGACATAGTTCTCTCTTAATTACCAGGATAACAGCTTCAACGTAAATGTAGTCCAAAAGCCTAGAGAGCAAAATTAACTCAAAAATTGCAGATACAAGACAGTACTACATTGGAATTAAGCTCCACATATGAAAATAAGAGATCATTCTTCATCATCCTCATCTCCATCTCCACCAGAAGCCTTCTTTGCAGCAGCTTTTTGGTTCTTTCTCTTTACTCTTCCAGGACGCCCACCACCGAAAGGACTAGTGAGAGAGAAGTCAATGTGCTTCTGGGAGTCCAGTCTCACCATAAAGGACGGAACATTCACCACCTGCCTTCCAACCCTGCAACACAACAATATTAGTACATGGAAACCCAAAGAAAGAAAAAACTGAGGAAACCTGTGGGCAATCGAGTGCGAGTGTTGAAAGGTAAAAGTTGATGTTCACAGAATTATATAAAGAAAAGATCAACTCATAGAAAACTACTTCGCAAAATAGAGTCAGCTCCATACACGCCGAAAAACATACGACTTTGCAAACCTCACCTGATTTCAATCTATTAGCGCATTAACAAATAATGCAATAGATGACACGTCTAATTTTTGCTTCTTCTAGTTAAAAAAAAATCTGTTGGTGGAAGTATAACAAGTACAAATTTAGCTTCTAAGAACACCTAGAAACTCAAACCACTTTGAGATGCATTAACATAAATTACACTGAGCGAATAAACAAGATCTTCTCAAGAAAATGGTCTAGATTCTCAAAACTCTATGATTCAATCAGATTCCATGTTTACGAAAGCAAAACCACTTCCACAAACAACAGATAATATATCCTTGTTGAGATATTATTCTGATAAACTGGTTTTCACAAACTCACTGAGAATATTGTTTTGTTCAATAGCAATTTAAAACAATAGGGAACGTAGATTAACTGCTATGCATAATGCTTCCAAAATAAAAACAACCTCAGTTTACAGAAACAATCTTTAGAAATCTTCAGACTAAGAATCTTGGTTCCTTAGTTAAAGCATCTTGGTAAAAGCCTTTAGGATATGTTCTGAAATCATTAGGTCAAAAGAACTTCGACTTCTTCAGTCGAGCACCTAAAAAAGAAAAGCCAAGACCTGAACATAGGAACTTCGAGAAGAGCACATCTATAAAAACATTTCTATTCTGAATATCATATTTATGTTAAAGTTCTTTAGCAGAAAAGAACGCATCATAAATGAAATTTTTAGAAAGAAAATCACAATGATACGCTCATCACAACAGTCCCTCGAAATGTGCGATCAAAGGCTAGAACAATTGCTAGATATTAAACTGCCCGCCTACCAACCATATCATAAGTGCCACATACCATTGCACCATAGCAGATAATTAAAAAAGTATTCACTTCAGGATCCCGCTACCATACATTCAGACACAGGAAAAATTGTAAAGAAGGTATAGACTAAGCTTGTTTATTTGAACTTTGTCACTAAAACTGGCAACAAATTTTACCTGATATGCCTTTGCCTAATTAGCACTCTTGCATGATGGATAGACTTAGCCATGCCAGTCTTGAAGACGAGGGTTTGGAGACGACGCTCAAGAAAGTTCTCCACAGTGAGAGACAAGACATAATCGAGCTTGTTCTGGCTCTCATCCAATAACCCATATCTGTTCATCCTCCTCATGAGTGCTTCGCCTTCAAAAATACGACGTGGGTCCTTCTCGTCTAATGTCAGAAGCATTCTTGCAGCATTTCTGATACGGCTCAAAGCATACTGAACTCTCCAAAGCTCCCTCTTGCACCTCAATCCATATTCTCCTACGAGCTTCAACTCTGCATCCAATCGCTCCTTTTCATAGGGACGACGAGGCTTCTTAAAGGTCTTCCCATCTGAGGTACATATCAAATTATAAAAATAAATATATGCTAAAACTATTAAGATAAAACACAGATAGAAACAATGGTATGCATCTTGAAGATCTTTAAAAAGGTATTAATGCATGTCACCGACTTTTTTTCAAATTAAGTTCTTTTGTCAGCTGACAATACACTACAATTTCATACAAAATTTGTAGTGGATTGTCAAAATAAAAACCCAACTCTTGTAACATAATGCAATCCAATCCATACTACCAAGAATTTTAAAAAAAAGGCAGTGCACTAAGCTACCACTATGCACAGGGTACGGGGAAATGCCGGACCACAAGAGCTTGATCATACAAAAACATGCATCAACCCGAAAATGAGCTGGGGTAGCCTATAAGATCCTTTGGGCATGTTTCATTCCAAAAAGATGATATTTCCTTAGAGACAAATTAGGCAGTTCCCTGAAACTACTCTAAATTCTTTACATCCCTCCACGGGCATAAAAATCTCTAAAATATTCCAATATTTATCAACTGATCATGAAGAAATGAAGTTCCTACAATGGCATAAAGCATTATAACATAAGAATAAAAGCTCAACTCTTCTTCTAACATTATGTATCCATATTACCACGTATATGATCATACAAAAACAGTCATCAATCCCAAAACGAGCTGGGTCAGTTATTTTGAATCTTCTATATCTTTCTGCTCAATTTGGGCATGTTTCGTTCCAATATTAAAACTAGAGATTCTTGAAATCTTTTACATCCTTCCACTGACATACAAATCTCGGAAGAACACTGCACCTAATACCAATAACAGCTACCAACTACTAATTTGTATCGCGTATTAGATTCTTTAGCTTCCTAACTTATAACTGGTCGATTTTATCAACACCGTCAAAATGAACCCTACAAATTGCTTAAATTCCTACTAATTATTAAAAGACAGAGAAATCAGCAGGACAAACACAAACAATCATGATTAGTCAGACATCAGATATTATATAAATAAAGAAATAACACGGCAAACGGATAAAGAGAAAGAACACAAATTTGAAGACTTACAGTTACGATAAAAGGCGACGTGGACCATGTTTCCCTGTCACCGCCGCTGTCGTCGGCGATCTGCTGAAGGGAACGGGAAGGGGAAAGGATATGATCAGAAACTAGGGTTTTCAGCTAGCCCTTTATATTTCAGCTCTAATCCCTAATGGGCTATAATGTCTCATAACTGATATGGGTTTAACGTCAGGCCCAATAAATTTGTTTTTCTAAAAAAAAAAAACTTTATCTCAGCTCATTTTATTTTCTTTCATCTAAGAACTATTTTAATTTATGATTTTTTATTTATTTCTCACTCGATGTAAGGCCTAAGTTAATTCGGGTTCCCACTGCGCAAGGCCCATTCAAGAAGAAATACTTCTTAACGTGAATTTTTTCATATCTAGGCTCGAACTTGAAATCACTGATTAAAGATGGAAGATCCTAACTTTCCCACAACAATTCTTGTTAGTTTTAATTTTCACTTGCGCCCCAAAATTTAGATTCTGAGAACTTTATAGAAAAATTTTACGTGAACTTTTTTTAAGAAAAAAGTTTTGGCATTTGATTGAGGAATGAGAATCATTTTTAAAAATAATTGTTAAAGATTTGTAATAATGTTAGCAAACGAATGAGTGATTAGATTAAAATAACTTGATAGTAATGTGTAAATGTTAGTTGGAGCAGTGACATAAACATAAGAATTAAGATAATTATAATTATAATTATAAATGATATCCGCTTAAAAGTAAGAGAAATTATTTTTTCCTTTTGGTAAAAAAATTTGTTTGACAAAAATATTTTGATAATCAAACATCAAAAATGAAGTACTTCCTTGTTTTTGTTGATTCTGATTTGTAATATGTAGTTGCAACTCATCTTATATTATTTTTTGTATGGCTTCAACTTTATCAAAAGCATTCTTCTCTTCTACCTTTTACCTCTTCACTATTATGAACTGTAACGATCCACCCGGTCATTTTGAGAATTAGTGTCTCGTTCGATGGCTTAAGGTCTCGAGCAGCTTCATATTATGTGTTATGACTTGAGTGTGTGGTCGCGTTAGGATTTCGGATGATTCAGGATTGATTTGGACGAAGGATTCTTGCTTTAGAAGCGGTAAGAGTTGATCGGGGTTTGACTTTGGTATAGACGACTCTAAAATGGCGTTTTAATGATCCCAATAGCTTTATATGGTGGTTTTGGACGTAGACGTGCATCCGGATTTGGATTTGGAGGTCCATAGGATAATTTGAAGCATTTTGGCAAAAACATGGCAAGTTCAAGTTTTGGAAGGTGGATAGGTTTGATCGAGAGTTGACTTTATTGATATTGGGCTCGGATTTCAATTTCGAGAGCTGGATTAGCTCTGTTATGTCATTTGGGAGTTGCATGCAAAATTTGACGTCATTCCGGGTTGATTTAATATGTTTCGGCACAAGTTTTGGAAGTTGGAAGATTTAGAAATTCATAAGTTCGATTCGTGGTGCGATTCGTAGTTTCGACTTTGTTTGATATGATTTGATGTCTCGAGCAGGCCCGCGTTATATTATGGAACTTGTTGGTTAGATTGGACGGGGTCCCAGGGACCCCGGGCATGTTTCGGACGAGCTTTAGATCATTTTTCATGCTTTGGGCAGGTATGGTTCTGGTGCTTCGCACCTGCGATATTTTGGAGCGCAGGTGCGGCTCCTCTTCTGCGTGAGTCTGATCGCTTCTGCGATGATTGAGGCATGGGAGGAAACTTCGCTTCTGCGGAGTTTTGCACGCAGGTGCGATGGCCGCTTTTGCGGCCCAATGACCGCATATGCGCAGCTATTCGCTTTTATGGCTCGTTTGGCACTTCTGCGTTGTCGCAGCTATGACTGTGTTTTCTGCAGATGCGAATTCTGTCATGGTAAGTTGTGTTCGCAAATGCGAACTTTTTCTCTCAAGTGCGAGGCCTCAGATGCGGCGTTTATGTTCGCAAATGCGAAAACGCTAGGCAGAACATATATTTCGAGGGTTTGTGTAACGATCCGACCGGTCGTTTTGAATATTATAACCTTATTTCTCCATTTACTGCTCAATTTATGCCTTGCTATTGATTTATGACTTACCGGGTTAGTGGGTTCGGGTCCGGAAAGAATTCGGAGTGAAATGAGACACTTAGTCTTATAATTAAAAATTTAAGTTAGAAAAGTGGACCGGATATGGACCTATGTATAAATGACCTCAGATTTGAATTTTGATGATTCCAATAGCTCTGTATGATGATTTTGGGCTTTGGAGCGTGTCCGAAATATTATTTGGAGGTCCGTAGTGGAATTAGGCTTGAAATACCGAAAGTTGAATTTTTGGGAAGTTTGACCGGAGGTTGACTTTTTGATAACGGGCTCGAAATCCGATTCTGAAAATTTGAGTACCTCCGTTATGTCATTTATGACTTGTGCGCAAAATTTGAGGTAAATCGGACGTGATTTGGTAGGTTCCGAAGTCGTTCGTAGAAATTAGAAATTTCAAAGTTCATTAGGCTTGAATTGGGGTGTAATTCATGGTTTTAGCGTTGTTTTGAGGTGATTTAAGGGTTCGACTAAATCCGTATGATTTTTAGGACTTGTTGGTATATTTGGTTGAAGTCTCGAGGGGCTCGGGTAAGTTTTGGATGGTTAACGGATCATTTTTTGCCTTGGTGAGATTGTTGATATCTGCTACTGCATTTTTCTGATTTTCTCTTTCGCGTTCGCGAAGAGTGTTTTCTGAGTGTGAGGTTTTGTTCTTCACGTCCACGAAGGGGAGGACGCGAACGTGAAGGTATGGTCTGTGTGTGCAGCGCGAACGCGTGAGAGGTGTCGCGTTCGCGAAGCAGAGTGAGGCTATTGGGGACCCCCAGGTCCTTGTTCTACGCGTTCGCGAGGTGACGGTCGCGTTCGCGAAGGTCTGAGCTGGCAAAGCTTCGCGTTCACGAAGCCATGGTCGCATTCGCGAAGGGTAAGATTTGCAAAGCATCGCGTTCGCGAAGGGTTAAATTTGTGGGCAGTCGAGTTGTGCTTCGCGAACGCGAGGGACCTGTCGCGTTCGCGAAGAAGAGAGGTATGGATAGAGAGTTTAAGTTCTGAAAATGGGACTTCGTCCCATTTTCAGTTTTTGACGGATTTGAGCTCGGGAAGAGACGATTTTCGGGAGTTTTTCAAGGAAAACAACGAGGTAAGTATTCTTAACTCAATATTGGTTAAATTACCTGAATCCATGGTTGTTTTTATCATTTAATTGGCGAATTAAGTTTGAAAAGATTGAAAACTCTCTTAGTTTAAATTGAAGATTTGAGGGTCGAGTTGAGGTCGAATTTTAGTAAAATTAGTATGGGCAGACTCGTGGTTGAATGGGCTTTCGGATTTTATAATTTTTGTCGGGTTTCGAGACGTGGGCCCCACAAGCGATTTTTGAGCTAAATTTCAGATTTTTATAAAAAATTAGTATTTTCTTATGGAATTAATTCCAAAAAATTTTATTGACTGAAACGAAGTATTTGTGACTAGATTCGAGGCATTAGGATGCCGATTTGCGAGGCAAAGGCATAGCAGAGTAAAGAGTTTCACGTTTTGAGGTAAGTAACAATTTTAAATCTGGTCCTGAGGGTATTAAACCCCGGATTTTGGTATCATGTAATTATTTTGGAGGTGACGCACATGCTAGGTGACGGGCTTGTAGGCATGCACCGAGGAATTGTGACTTGGTCCGTCCCGAAAAACTGTAAAGTTAAATAATTTGTTGTTATATATATGCTCTCTATGTGTTGATAAAAAAATGACTGTAAATCATATTAGAAATCATGCTTAGGCTATGTGATAGTACTGTTGAGTCCTACAAAGGTCGCGTACTTGTTGAATTGTCTGCTAAATGCTATATGTACTCAGTCTTAGTTTTTACTTGCACATTTTATCTCAGTCTTTGTTATTATTATTGATACATCATATCATTATTGTTTGGGCTGATTTCATGAATAATGAGAGTCCGAGAGACTGGAGAGATTTATGACTGAGAGAGGCCAAGGGCCTGATTGTGAGATATTGATATCATAGCACGTGAGTTGTCCGTGCAGCACGTGAGTTGGCCGTGCAAATCTTTATATTATACTATAGCACGTTAGTTGGACGTGCAACACGTGAGTTGGTCGTGCAGCACGTGATATTTATATTATGGCACGTGAGTTGTCCGTGCAGATATCCGGAATTTGTACACCCCCAGTGAGCGCGGGTACCCATTGAGAGTGAGTAATGAGGGATGGGAGCCTAGGGAGTGATGAGGGCTGAGATCCCAGTGAGTGATTGTTGTTCTAAGAGGTTGTACTTGATTTGCATTTGTTGTTGCACTTAGTTGCTATCTGTCATTATTGTGAAATCTCTGAAAGATTGTTGATATACAGATTACATGAAAAGAAAATGTATAAAAAATTGATTTGACATTAAACTGCCAGATTTGATAGCATGTCTATTCTTTGCTGGAATTACTAGAAATGAACCGTAACTGTGTAGCTCGTTACTATTGTCATGCCCCGAACCTGAGAGCGAGACCGGCACTCGGTGCCTCACCTAACCTAGCGTACCAAATTGTGACTAAGGGACTCTGAACATATAATGTCATAATTTGCCCATGGGCCACCTTGCAAGACAATTTACGAAGCAAAATATAAACCTGAATGAAAACTAGCGCTAACTAAATATCAATATAAAGTTGGGCCGACAAGGCCGTCATAACTACTACAATTGACAAACCACCAAAATATACACACCAGGCCTACAAGCCCAACATACTGCACTAACCAACAAGATATGTCTACAAGCCTCTACTGATGGATATATTGTAATCGGAACAGGGCCCCGACATACCCATAACATATATACATATATGCAAAAGATATACACAAAAACCTAGACCCGATAACTTCGAAGGACGTGGAGCTTACCGATCAGGCTGAACTCTGGAAACACCTACTGAGGAGGTCTACCCGTCTGTCTATCTGAACCTGCATGCATAAAATGCAGCGTCCACAGAAAAGGGATGTCAGTAAGAAATAATGTACCGAGTATGTGAGGCAATAACATAACTGAAAACTGAAACTGAACTGATAATACAATAACTGAAAGTAACTGGGAGTCAAAGATGATCTGGAGATA